ATGTACAACTAAATATTTCTCTCTTTTTTGAGTGATTATAAATAGCATTGTAGTTTGGTGTCCAAATGTTCGTTGCTAGTGTGTAAATATACAACTAATTTTTATATGTTTATCTTGTATCCCATGACTTTGATAAACTTCTTAGTTTTAGGATTTTTGGAGTAGATTCCTTGGGATTTTATACATGGATAATTATATCTTCTGACATTTGGACAGTTTCATTTCTTCCTTTCTTATATGTATAAATTTTATTTCTGTTTATTGTCTTATTACACTGGCTAGAACTTCTGCCACTAGTTTAAATGAGTGGTGATAGGAGACATCCTTGCATTTTTCCCAATTTTAAGGGGAAATGTCAGTCTTTCACCATTAAGTATAGTATCAGCTGTAGGGATTTTTAGATTTTTTTTTAAGTCAAATTGAGGAAATTACTCTCTATTCCTTGTTTGCTGATAACTTTAGTTACGAATAGGGTGTTGACTTTTGCCAAATGCTTTTTCTGCATCAATTGACTTATCATATGATCTTTCTTTTTTAATCTATTAATGTGATGGGTTATATTGCTTGATTTTCAAATACTGAATTCATCTTGCATCTCTGGAGTAAACCCCACTTGGTTATAGTGTATAATTCTTTTTATATATTGCTGAATCCTATCCTCTAATATTTTGTTCAAAGTTTTTGTGTCTATATTCATGAGGGATATTTGTCTGTAGTTCTCTCTCTCTTTGTGATATTGTCTTTGCCTGGTTTTGGTATCCGAGTAAACGTAGCTTCATGAAATCAGTTGGAAAGTGTTCTTATATCTTTTATTTTCTGGAAGAGATTGTATCAAATTGGTGTTAATCCTTTAAATATTTTAGAATTCACTAATGAACGCACCTGGGCTGAAATACTCCATTTTTTGGTATTTTTTAAATTATATATTCAATTTCCTTTATAGTTATAAGGATATTCAAGTTGTTTATATTGGGTGAATTGTAGTAGTTTTTTTTTTTTTTTTGAGGATGTGGTCCATTTTGTCTTAGTTGTCAAATTTATGTGTGTAGAGTTGTTCATAGTATTCCTGTATTATCCTTTCTACATCTTCAGGGTCTGTAGTGACACCCTCTGTTTCATTCATGATATTGATAATTTATGTCTTCCTTTTTTTCTCTTGTTTAATTTTTGTTGATTTTATTCATCTTTTCAAAAAAATAGCTTTTTGTTTCATTGACTTTTTCTGTTGTTTTTCTTTTTTCAATTTCATTTTGTCCACTTGTCTAATTATTTACAGTGGGAGGGCAAGTTAGGGTGCAGTCATTCCATCCTGTTAGAAGTTCCACGTAATTCCTTAGATGCGTTTCACCTGGAGTGAAATGTTTATGCAGTATGAAAGGACTATCGTTAAAGCACCCGTTCCAGAGCCTGGCACGTGATAGGCTTATACTTAATACCAGGTATGATGATCAGGACGATTTTCATTGCTATCATTCCGTGTAGGCCCTATTAACCCGTTTAGGATTTACTAACAGCGGTGACTTGATTTTTTATCTTTTTTCATTTTAGTTTATCTGAGGAAAGCACGCAGAATTAAACAGGGCACTTGTAAACTTGCATAAATATTACCAAATGAAATGCCTACGATGCAGACTACCTCTTAGGAAGTCTTAGAATGAAAAGCAATTGTAAGAGATTTAAAGTTCAGACTTTGATTTCCAGCTTTAGTCAAGTAGAAATTCTTTTTTGTAGTCTCTTTACAAATGTTATTCAAGTACGACAATGATTTAAAAGGAATTGATTTTCTCCACTCAAAAAAGTAAGTGAGTCAATGAAAAAGGCATCTGGCTCAAGCCAGCAAAAGCATTAAGATTTATTAAGTCAACTATGAGTAAAGATGATATAATGCACTAAAAACTCTCCTACTAAAATAAGCTAGAATGCGTATCATTTGGAGCTGGAATGGTGGGTTGTTGAAATGCATATAAAAGCATAATACTCCTAATACAAGGAAACATAAATGAAACCAAACTTGCTACGATTTGTAGTAAATCTTCAAATACCTTGCATAAGACTGATGGCAAAATGCATGATCACTAGAGGCAGAGAGGAGTCTTCTGCTGGAAAATTTCCTGGAGTGGCTCCATCATCAGAATCACCCCATATTCCTACCACCAGCCTGCGACACAGTAAAGGCCTCAAACTGCAAGCCAGTTGGGGGGGAACTGATTCAACTAGGAGTGTATGTGTGTTAGTCTGTAAAATAAGCCAGTAGAGTAAATCTAAAGATATTTGCCAACTGTGCATTGCCACGGGGTTCTGCCAAAGCACATGTGCTGTGGAAATTAGCCGCTAGCTATTTGGGTTCCTGACTGGCACGGAGTTTTATCATAAATTAGTGTCACTGAATCCCAAGTGTAGCTCTGAGACACCATGGTGATGAAAGCCAGATGGGATAGATCTGGGACTCGTCCTGGACTCCAGCCCTTTGGTTCCTGGGTCTTAGATGTTTGATAAATGTCTGCAGAGAATGTTACCCTATTTTCTCCTGCCATCCTCTATTCCTATCAAATCCTTCCAATCCAGTGAGCCCCAAGAACAGACAATCCAAGGATCTTGGACTTCTCTCAACTCTTAAAAAGATCCAAGAGCCAAAACATGCATTCGAACTGCTTTGGACCCTGAACTTGGCAGTTACCTCCCTGGTGAAGCGCTGGACCAGAGCAGGACTGGGTGGGCTGGACTGACAGCTCTAGGACTGCCCAGAGTTCAGGGAGTTACAAGGGTTTGACACTGCCCTTAGACTTCTGGAGCAGGGTGGGGCTTTGGGATATTGCAAGGCTGTAGAAGTAGGGAGAAGTCAGGCCACTTCTGTAGTTACTGCTCTAAAGGTAGCAGAGCATCTTATTTCAGAATTTGCAGTATTCAGATTGCCAGCTAACAAAACAATTGTTTAGTAAATACTTCGATTAAGCTTGTCTTCCTAAATGGATGGAAAGCAGTGCTGATATGTGTATTTGTCAAGGCCTTTGGTTTCATCTCTTTCATGTTTCTCAGCACGTTCTTCTTTATATGTCTTTTCAACTGGTCTACCAAGTAATGCCATTTGTAATAGTTAGTCTGTGTTCTTTTCCAGTCAAAGCGACTGCCCCGTTAATAGAAAGACAATCTTAGAAATAGGTTAGTGAGAGGCAGTCAGTTTCATGTCTTTCCAAATGGGCATAAAGGACTGTATTTATTGCAGGAAACAAATTCACTTAGACATGACTGAATTACAGTCAGCGTAGTAGGGTCTAGATGGAGTAAATGTTTTATTGGGCGGATTTATTTAAAAATAAAATATTCAGATGCTGGGTATGAAAAACATGTGACATGAAGCAGACATGAAATATTTCAGTCTGAGATTCCTCCTCTAGAATGGTCTGTGAGTGACATATGGTGGTTTTATAAAGATGAGGTAAGCCAGTGGCAGATAGAACAGTGCATTTGAACAGTGATTAAGTAAGCCTGGAAGTATCCAAGTGTGCACTGAAACATTCACTGCCTTTGAAAACAGACAAAATACTCGATTTTGTTCCTTTGCTTTAGTCTATGACCATTGCAGTTTTAGGAGGTTTTTTTGTTTGTTTGTTTGTTTGTTTGTTTATCACAAGCTGCCAACAGCACTTTATTTTTTCTTTTCAACATCCTGTTCTGTAGCTTCCTTGGCCCTTTTTGCCCGGATGCCCAAGAGCCGGGCGTTGGCACGGGCCATGCAGAGGCTGGCAAACACCTTGACATTCTCGTCCTCCTCTGTGATGACTCTGGCCTTTCCTTCCTGTAGACATTTCATGCGGGCGTGACTGATCCCGTCAGCTGGGTGGCCAACGTGAGCTCCTCAGCAGAGCTGTCTCCCTTCTTGGGGGCGGAGGGCTTCCTGGGGAAGCAGATGAGCTTGGAGTGGTACTAGGAGTTTTCTGGGGTTTTTTTTAATATCGCTTTTTACATTTATCTAAGCAAATGGAACTATATGGAAAATTTTGCTTTTTCTCATTTTCAAACTTTAAAGACAGATTGCCTCAATTTGAAGCATCCTCTCTTCAGCTTTGATGTGATGTCTTTTAAGAGGGGTACCTATTTTGTATGGACTCACAGTATGGCTTTAGAATCACATGAAGGTGGCTTTGTTCGTGTATAACATCTAATAACAAGCTGTTCCCTGTAAGTTGTTCTTTGGACCAGCGTGTCATCAGCCCGTTTTCTGGTTTGTAAGTTTAAACCAGGCTTTCTCTGAGACGGGCAAGAATGCCCCAAAATGTTGAGTGTAGCAGGATCAGGAGCCCCAGGTCACGGTGTTCATCATGGGGGATGGACCTTGGGGAGGGGTGTGAGCTTCCCTGGGCACCGTTTCCTGGGGAGATGACGTGAGGCAGGGCTCACCCCAGATGTCACAACTGTCCTTCCTTAAGTGGGCTTGATGTTCTCCCTCAACGTTTCAGTCCCTCCCAGAGGCATATCTAGGGATTTGGAAAGAGGAGAACGTTCTCATACTTGACTCAGGCTAGGCATGCAGCTGCGCCCTAGAATTACCCAGAAAGTAGTCCGATGTCCAGACTCATACAAACACTTGGCTACCAAATAATAAAATCATAAACTGTGAGTTTTTGGCTTTCTGAGGTTTCAGAAAAATAAATAAGAAGACTCAGCTGACTCAAGCCAAAACAAAATAGGTTTAATGAAATCAGGAACCCAAGTTTGTTTCTCCAGTAAAACTTGAAAGTTTTATTCGGACATGGGAATCGGACAAGTTCAGTAGATTAAAGGAGATTCTTTTCACCAATGTCATTTTTTTTTCATTTTTAGTTTTCACTTAAGTAAAATTTGGGGACAGTTCTGCACCGTATGCAAACAACAAGTGGGGCTGCATTGCTGGAGATCACGACCCCAGACTTCGATCTGTGCTTAGCTGGAGAAGTGATGGGGACCGCCGGGGGCCGCCAGCTGTCTCACTGCTGCCTTTTTCCCTCCCTTTATCTCCTTAGGTGAAGAGTGTGACATTGATATAAATGAGTGTGACAGTAACCCCTGCCATCACGCGGGTACCTGCCTGGACCAGCCCAATGGTTATACCTGCCACTGCCCCCATGGCTGGGTGGGAGCAAACTGTGAAATCCGTAAGTACTTCTGCAGCTCAGCCACTGGTATTTACCATTACATTTTCCTTCAGCAAGAAGAGGATGCTGACCAGGCCCAGCAGTGAGGCCCAGAGGGTACCCCGAGTCAGCCGCGCCTCCCGAGCCCCACATGCGTGCATGCTTCTGCTCGCTGCGCTGTGCAGCTCCCACTCCTTCCGGAGTCGGAATCCAGCCTTTCCATCAGGATGAGACTGTGCAGATGTCATCCAGAGTTCACTGATGCTAAATACAGCCAAAATTGTGCTCAACAGAGAAGCGTTAGAAGCATATCAAAGACGCTAGTCTTTGTATTGAAAGTGTAAAAAAAAAAACCCGCACAAAATGTACATTCATTTTGCATCTATGTCTTCGTGTCTACAAATGTCTTCAGTTCCATCAATTGCCTGGAGCATAAAAGAAAATCTGAAAAACATGTTGAGCTGCTTAGAGCGAAGTGTTCTCTAAAGATGCCTTCACAGAAATTTGACAATGCCAGGATCAGGGTTTTGTATATTAAAATAATGTGTCTAACTAGGATTGATGTGAAAATAAGAACTGCCGTGGAACTGGGTTTTCGTTGTTTTGTAAACTAAAAGTTCAACTGGTTTTTTCCTTATAGGGATATTGATTGATTGATTGATTGAAGTATAGATGATTTATAATGTCATGTTAGTTTCTGGTGTACAGCACAGTGATTCAGTTATACACGTGTATTCCTTTTCCAATTCTTTTCCATTATAGGCTATTACACAGTATTGAATATAGCTCCCTGTGCTCTACAGTAGGACCTTGCAGATGCATACAGAATAATGCAGGTGCATTTGCATCTGCAAATCCCAAACTCCCAATTTATCCTTCCACTCCTCACCCTTTCCCACCCAGTAACCACAGTTTTGTTTTCTATGTCTGTGAGTTTGTCTCCATTTTGTAAATAAGTTCATTTGTATCTTTTTTTTGGATTCCACATATACATAATATCATATGGTATTTTTCTTTCTCTTTCTGCCTTACTTCACTTAATATGATAATCTCCAGTTCCATCCAAATGGCATTATTTCATTCCTTTTTATGACTGAGTAGTATTCCATTGTATAATTATATCAGGAGTTCTTTATCCGATCATCTGTTGATGGACATTTAGGCTGTTTCCATGTCTTGGCTATTGTATCTAGTGCTGCTGTGAACATTGGAATGCATGTATCTTTTTGAATTAGAATTCCCTCCAGGTATATGCCCAGGAGTGAGATTGCTGGATCATAGGGTGAGTCTGTCTTTAGTTTTTTGAGGAATCTCCATACTGTTTTCCATAATGGCTGCACCAAACTACATTCCCACCAGCAGTGTAGGAAGGTTCCCTTTTCTCCACACCCTCTCCAGCATTTATCGTTTGTGGACTTTTGAATGACGGCCATTCTGACTGATGTGAGCTGATACCTCACTATAGTTTTGATTTGCATTTCTCTGATAATTAGCGATAGTGAGCATCTTGTCACGTGCCTATTGGCTGTTTGTGTGTCTTCACTGGAGAAATGTTTGTTTAGGTCTTCTGCCCATTTTTGGATTCGGTTGTTTGTTTTGTTGTTGTTGTTATTGAATTGTATGCGCTGTTTGTATATTCTGGAAATTAAGCCGTTGTCAGTTGGATCATTTGCAAATATCTTCTCCCATTCCGTAGGTTGTCTTTTTGTTTCTATAAAGGCCAAAAAAGCCCATCAGACAATTACGCTGTATGAGCAGTCTTAATGATACAAATAGATTCAGTTCTTTGGTTCTCATTTTTGTATAAACTAGAATTTTTAAGAATCAAATTTAATCTTCCTCCCCATTGAGACCCCCACTTTACTCCCCAGAGGTAGCAACTGTTAGTCATTTATTGTGGATTCTTCCAGATGCTTTCAGTCACTATATGTCCCATTTTTTTTTGTACTAATGGGACTATTCTATACATACTGCTCAGCATCTTGCCTTCATGCTTAATTATATATCTTGGCTATTTTCCCATGTGGGCTTATGCAGATCTTCCTCAATTTTTTAACACCACATGGTATTTCCATTTTTCAGATGTTCTATAATTTACTTAATCAGACCCCTGCTGGTAGTCAGATAACCCATTTTCAGGTTTTTGGTATTAAAAACAATAGTAGAGTGAAAATTCTTGTTTATGTAATACCTGTGTGAGAATATCAGGAGGATAAATCTCGAAAATGGAATAGCCAAATTGAGGGGTCCTTTAATTTTTCACAAGGATTTACTTACGTACTGACTCTTAGCCAACAAAAACCTTCCTCTTGAAAGCGATGGTGCTGGGGCCCAAGGTTGACTCGAAAATCCCCTTTAATCCATACTTACCTTATTATTAAATACTTTCAACACCCCTGACTGCATCCTCTGCTTACCTCTGGGGAGTGACTGGGGCTAGATGCAGGGGAGGCAGCCTGACTGAATGGGAAGAAGGTCATTGTGGAGTTCTGTGGCCCTGGTTTCAAACCCCAGCTCAGGGACTTATTCTTGGTAAACAAGAGCTCTGAGCCTCAGGCCTTGATAAATGGGGTAATAACTGTAAACGATACAGTTCAGTGCCTGGTTCGTAGTATTTGCTCAATAAATGGTTGCCTTAATTACTGTCACCAGCTGTCATTCTCTTTGAGCTGCTGGCAGCCTCTGGGTACCTGCTCAGAGTGAAGTTTCCCTGCCTTGATGGAATATTGATAAATTAGATGTTTTTGAGGTAACTACTAATTTTCTAAAAGTACCAAATATTTTAGGATGACAGGCAATTTATAAATATGTAGTTTTGTCAATATAATTAGACTTCGATCTTTCCATTCCACGGTAGATACAGGTATTCCATGAAGGGACTCTCCCTTCCTGCCCAAAGATACTGATGGGTGCCCACAGCATAGAGATGCTCACAGCACAGGGAGGTGTTCTTCAGGCCTTTTGACTGCAACCCACAGTAAGAAATATCTTTTGCATCTTGGTGCTACACATGACATTCAGTCCCTCTCACACACACGAAACATGAAGTAATAATTTTATAAGCATCACACACTTTTATATCATTTTTCTAAACTTTTTTTTCTAATATGGTCTGGCCCCAACATAAAGATTTCCACAGTCTGCAGTATGGAAAACATTACTTATTAAGTGTTTTGAGCCAGATTATTATTAGGATTGTAGATCCTAATCGCTGATTCCTCAGTTAGGTGGAGAATCCCTTGTCCTCTCCTGCGGCACCACTGAGCTTGTCCCCATGTCTCAGCACACTGAGACTTCCACGACCCTGAAAAGACTGGGGGACCCGTGAGCCCACTTGTCTCTCAGTCTTCTCTTACTCCTTATCCCAGGCACCCAGCGCAATGCCTGACACACAGTAGGTGCTTATTAATGTTTGTTCAGTGACAGGATTGCTGGGAGGGAGAGGAGCTGTTCCTTCCATCCCCTCCTCTCCTGCCGCTACTGAAGATTAACGAAGGTGTTACCTTTTTTCAGTCTCATTGACTGCTTTGATTGTCCAGCTAACTTTTAGCTTTAGAAAGCATAAATAAATCTGAAGTCCCTCCTCGCAGTTGAACTAGGCAACAGATGGTTCAAAAAATTATCTAACTCTCTAAGTGACATCTACAAAAAAAAAACACACACACACACTTTTTAAGTAACATAGGTGGACAAATTAAGTAGTCTAGCTAGATTCACCTGGATAAGTGAAAAAACAGATATGGGAAATGTATTTTAGAATGAAATTTGTAAATCAAATGAAGTTTCTTTTTGGTGGAGTGGAGATGCTTGCTGGGTCTGGTTTTACCCTCTGGCCACTGACTGCCTGTTTCACCTTGAGCAAAGGCTCTGAGTCCAGCCCCTATTTCAGTCAAGTCCAGCCACTATGTAGCTCATATTTTAGGACCAATTGTGATGTTAAATGCAAAAACACTTTAGAAAATACAAAACCTCAAACAGAGTGGATTTAAACTGAAATACAGATGCTTCTTCCTACCCAGAAGGGTGACATTTTTCCTGAACAGTTCGTGTGCATGTGTTCCTGGTCGTGCACCTGCTGGGGCTGATGAGGTCGTTCCATCCAGCATGCTCTGATGCGTGATTCTTCCCTGAGCCGTGCTGAAGCCAACATAGTAAATGATTCATGCACTGGGGCTCCTAGGATGCGGCAGAGCAATGACTTATGATGGTAGCGCCTGGACTGGGAGATGGCAGCTGCGGCCACCTGGTGCAGAGATACATTTGCTGCCTCGCAGTCTAAATGCTGGATTTATTCTGATCCAGCCTGGCTACCAACCCAATCAGTATGTAAAGCAGCCACCTTCACTTATTAGACAAGTTTTAGATAACAGTAAGGTAGAAAATGCAAAGAGCAAGGTGGAGGGGAGAAGCAGAGGTTTTAGGAGAAGTTTTGAGAAAGTGTTCCCAAAAGTCCAAACAGCTTGGAATTCAGACATTGGGGAGATAGACCAGATGGTCAGTGATGCACACGGTTTAGGCAGCTCGTCAGGCCCGGGACAGCGTGCCGAGCGCGTAACCCAGCACAATTGTTTTCCCACTGTGATGGCTGTGCGCTTGTGCACTGGCTGTGTGTCCACAATCTGCATGATGTGTAAGCACACGGAAGTGTGCATCAAGTGTAAGAATTCATCAAGAGCTCGTGCGGCCCCACCCTATAATCAGATCTGAGCCCACTACCAGGCCAGGGGAGAGATGGTATTGGCTGCCCTCGCTCAGTGGGTGTTCCAGCATGCTGCGTGAGCCTTGGGCTGCAGCCTACAACTGAATTTTTCAGAGAATGGCGAAATACTTGGAAATCATATGAGTCATGCTTCTCTTTCAGCCAGAAAAATGAGTGGTCTCTCTCCATGTGCACCTGGTGCTGCCAAGTGCAATGGCTGCCAGTTAGGGGATTGAGTCTTCGTTTTGGTTTCACAGAACACTCTCTCTTCCATCTTGACCGCGTATTTGTAGTGATTTATGTCAGTCTATCTGCCTGTATGTGAGTTGGCTCACACAGAGTGGTGAACGCCCTAATGGTCAGTCTTACCGCTCCGTTGGCTCTGTGAACTCAGGCAGGCAGGCTCAAAGGCAGAACCAGACTCCAGGGTCCTTGGTGGAAAACCCCAGGAGTCAGAAGTTCTGGACTCAAGCTCAGAAGTCACTTCCTGTGTCCCTTCTCCAACTCTCAGGAACCGCTGAGCTCAGGGCATGGGTCGGTTTTCCGTTAGGCTCTAGGAAGAGGGTCTGCACACTCGGATCTTTGCATGTTTACCTGTGCTCTTCTGCAGATCCTAACTTTTCAAAGTAAAGAGCAGGTGATTCTGAGATTCCAGGGTGACTGAAGATGTCACTAAGATGAGAATATGAGTACCCCGAGGTCGCAAATACTCTCAGTGGAAACAGTCCTAAGGGTTTCACAGGAAGACAGGCCCATTCCCACCCACCCCTGAATCCCATTTCCAGGCACTGGGAGTCCTCATGTGGAGATGATGGCCTGGAGGTGGTGGTGGTGCAGGTGGGAGTGTGAGTCAAATAGGGAAGGCATCCTCTTTTCCACATGAGTTTAGCTTTGCTTTGGTCTTCCCTAGCTCTTTAAAATTCTCACAGCTTCCTTTCAAGTCCTGGTCACGTTATCTGGTATGCACATCTGTAAAGAGGACATAATCTGGTACTCTTGATCTGTGCCAGATGCAAAGATTATATCCCATCCTTCGATTCTTTTCCTGCCCTTACAGGCTGGTGTTTTTTGAACGGGAGCAGGGTAATGCTCAATGATCCTCAGCTCAGAGTGTGTGCCTCCTAGGACAGCATCCTCCTTCTCTGTATCCTTCCCTCTTCTACCACCACAGCTGCTCCTCCTTAGGGACCACCCACCATGTGCCTGGCAGTGCCTTACTTTTCTTTACATGTTTTCTAACTTACGTTCACAGCAAGCACATAGGGGATATGTTGCAATTTTCATCTTATAAATGAAGAAACTGAGTTAGGGGATCAAGTAAATGGTGCAGCCGGGATTGAAAGCAAGGTTGGTGTGGTCCCAAGGCTCACACCCCTTCCACTAGTTAAGCTGGCAGATAATCTTATGGGTGTTTTCTTCAAATGACTTATTGCTTATTTTTTTTATTATTGTTATAGTATTCTTTTTTAAAAAGCTGGAAAAGACTGAGAAGTGTAAATAAGGAAACAAAAATCACTTGTCATCCTGCCTTTCAGAGATCACTGCTTTTAGCACATTGTTGTGTAAGGCAGAGGCTAAGCACTTGGTCCTAGACTTGCTGACAACATGCTCACCCAGGAAGTGACATCAACTTCCTGGGCTTCATCTATAAAGTGGGGAGAAAAAATAATATATCTTCTGGAGGTTCTGATGATTAAATGAGATATTTTCAAAAAAGCTCAGCAGAGTAAGAAAACAGCAAATGTGCATCATTCTTATCACTCCACCCTGAGCTTTTCAGTGTGTAGTTAAACATTTTAAGCTCCTGTGTGCTTGTGCTACACAACCAGGTTCTGTTTGGAGCCTCCTTTCGTTCTTCTGCTACTTGACGACTCTCTGACTGTCTCACTAAGAGTTGAATATTTAGGTTGTTTCCCATTTTTCCACTTTAATGAATTGTATTATCTGTTGGTGGGGTGGAGAGAGAACTTGGGGTTGAGGGACTCCAGGTACATCTGCAACATTTTATTTCTTTTAAAAAAATCTAAAAAAGTTAAAAGAAGGTCAAATATGAGCATTGATTAATGAGTGATGAAGACATGGATGTCTGCTTATTTCTGAACTTTTTTCTAAACGTGTCATGGTTGATAATCTAGCATTTAAAAATTGTGTGGCTGAGATGAACAGCCTTGTATGTAGGGCTTTATGCATTTACAGGACCATTTCCCCAGCATAAACTCTGAAAATTGTAATTTCCATGTCCAAGGATAACTCCATTGAGTCCACCCAGGGGTTGTGTATAAATTCACACAGTCGCCATCTCTGTACCCTTGTCAACTGTGGTCATTAAAATTTACAAATAACGTTCGGGAGCTGATATAGGAATTGCATTTTAAAACAATAAGTATGAAGCTAAACAAATTTCTACTTGTATTTCTTTGGTGGGTTCCTTTTTGTATTCTTTGCCCATCTTTTCATGGCGTGTTGTTGGTTTTTCTTAATGATTTGTAAGAGGTTCTTGTATATTAAGGATGTTACCCCTGGTTCTGGATTATTCATAGAAAATCATTTTTCCCGATTTGGACTGCCCTTTATATTTTAAGTTCCCAATGGGAGGACGGGAAAGACCTTCCCATTCAAAAGGCCAGAACTCATATGCAGCCATGTGCTTATTTCGCCTCCAGACCTGCAGTGGAAGTCCGGGCACATGGCCGAGAGTCTCAGCAACATGCCCCGGCACTCCCTCTACATCATCATCGGCGCCCTCTGCGTGGCCTTCATCCTGATGCTGATCATCCTGATTGTGGGGATTTGCCGAATCAGCCGCATCGAGTACCAGGGCTCCTCCAGGCCGGCCTACGAGGAGTTCTACAACTGTCGCAGCATTGACAGCGAATTCAGCAACGCCATCGCCTCCATCCGGCATGCCAGGTGGGCGGCGGGGGGTGGGGGGGTGCTGAGTTCACATGTGCATTCTTGGTCCCAGGTTAGATTATGAACAGGACTTTACATCTGCAAGGAGGATTTCAGAGAATAAAACACAAGTTCAAGGTAGTATAGAGGGGGTCAAAAATTAGACCGATTTATAAGCAAACCCTTTTAATTTGCTGCTAGCTTTCTGTTTTCATTGAATACAGTCATTCTAAATGAATTCGTGGTTATCTGTGCTATAAATATCTGAGTCTTAATCACTGTGTATGAAATATTTTTTCGAGGATTTCTTTCTGGAATCTCTTCAGCTATGTTGTTCTTCAGTCAGTGGTGGATGGAAATTATTCTATTTGATTTGAGGGCTTACTTAAAGTCAGCAATCATTCTGCTGTTAGAGTTCACATTAAACAAACTTGTGTCTTCTTCTGCGGGAAAGACTCCTGGAGAGACAAGAGTTAGTGTGGTGTCACAGAAACAGCGTGAGTTCATGTGTCTGAGGTAAATCGTGAAGTCCAGCTGCTCCATTACCTGTCTGTACTTTAGACAGATGATTCAACCTTCCACACATACAGTTCCCTCAACTGTAAGAAAGGATAACCATCTCCTTAAAGAGTTATGACAAACTAAATTACAAATATTGTAGGATTGCATAAACAGATAACATCAGATTTACTTCTCGAGATCTGTTACACCGTGGAAAAAAATTAGCTAGCCTAATTTTGTTAATTTTTGCAAGGAATATTTACTATTTTTATGTGTGTCAAAAAATACCATCTCTTCCTTTAATTGGTAGAACAATCTAAAGCCTAGAATTCAGAGAGTCGGTGTCTTGCAGCAAAAAGTGGGCTGAGCTTAGTGTCTTAAGATTGGGCCTCGGGGAACTATTAGTTGCATAAACTTTCTTGGGACATCATGTATTGATACTGATCAAGACACAAGCAGATCCAAATTCTGTCTGAGGGGCATAGAAGCTCAGATGTTCAAGACATTAGCTTTCTTCAAAAAGTAAAACCCCAAACCCAAGACTCAGATCTTGGAGTGAGTCCAAGGGAAGCAAAAACCCAAACCTGCCTTCCAGGGAGACACAGAGAATATAAAAAGAAGAGAATAAACAAGTTCCTTTGTTGCTCAAAAGTCTTCCCGGAGGGGCTTAGTTCCCCAGGAAGGAACAGAATCCATGGCTCTTTACTGTGATGTATTGGGAGACCCAGGGAATCAGATTCCCTCTCCCCATCCCCTATCCCGGAGGAATCTCTGGCTAAGGTCCTTTTGCATTCAAGAGGAAGAGTATTTTATCTCAGTCTTGGAATAGTTTAAGATAGATTCTTCTGGGCTTTCTGCTTATATAGCCCGCTGGGAAGATATTTAACTGAATACTTTTGGAAGGAAAGGATAAACTTAAAAGCACTTGAAAACCTGTTTCTTATTTGGTACTGATTTTTATCAAAAATATTTACTGCAGGATTCCTAACCAACAAGCTCCTGCATGCACCAGTGATTGCAGATAAAACCATTGACGTTAATACAATACCTTCCCAAATATCTGGGAACGTTCCTGTCCAAACGTTTATTCAGCTCTGACCTGTGCTTTCTACAGTGTGGCTCTCTAGAGGCCCTGGCCGGGTCTCTGCCTGGTTGGCTCTTTTGATCCCCTTTCCTAGAAACCCTGGAAAGGTGCTGACAAAGATTTAGTCTTTTTGCTATTCCCCTATTCCTAGCTTTCAGCAGCGGCCGATAGCTAACGTCCGTTTCCTGGCCTGCCTCCCCGCCGCGAGCCTCGTGGTGATGTTGGGTCAGAGTGACCGCAGCTCAGCAGCTGCAGGAGATGAAGACCGCACTGGTCATCTGTGACAGTCACCGGTGACCCAGGAAGTGCCTGGTGACTCTGACGTCAGCATCAGCTGGCGCTGGTGCTGCCTCACTCTCCCATCCTGAGTCATCTGGTCGACAGCTGCTTTGCTTACACTCAGGCTGGGGAGATTTGTGACTGACAGGTGGGGGCGGAGCCACGGCTTACCAAGTTCTGCATCTGAGGTCACATCTCTTGCTGACTGGTCACTGCTCCACCAGCTCTAAGTGCCTGATCACGGAAAACAAATAAGCAAACAAACAAATGGGAGCTGTGAAAGGACAGAGTTGCTGTTTCTCAAATAGCATCTCCCCATGCGGGCCTTTTTAAAGGTCACACCCACCTGACTGTCTCTGTGGCACTGTTTAGCTGTTGGCTTCCAGGGGAATATGAACTAGAAAAATGTACATGTCATTGGCTTGCAGGCTGTTGTTTGTTAATCCCTGGTGGACATTATAATTTTCTCTAACTTTCAATTTTTTTTCCCACAATGAAAATGTCCCTTTAGGATAAGGAAAAACAGTATGTTGTTTAAAAAAAGGAACAGTTGCATAGAAACTCCTTCCATAACATAGGCAAGCTCTCACCTTGGTTTAGTGCCTGAGGGTTTAAAATGGAATCCTATAGGTGTGAGCTGATTTCTTCACATCCACCCAATTCTGAGAACCAAGGGAAACGGAAAAAGCTGGTAGTGTTGTAGATTTAAGTCTGAATGCACATTCGTTTTGTGCAAAGTGTGGGCAATTTGAGGAGAGGCTGGTTTCATTTTACTGTGTTTTTTAAACGACTTTAGCCTCCATATGGTAGCTGCTGAATATGGGTGGAGACCTCTGTATTTCACCTATGGAATCTAGACAGGCTTCTCAGCAGCTGGTTAAGTCACAGTGCAAGGAATCCAGCTCCCGGATGGCGCTGAGCATGTTAGTCCTGCTTTAACCAGGTTACCTCTAACCAGCATTATACTTGATGACCCATCCTGTCTGGCGTCGATCTCATTAGCGCCATGCACATGGCTGAGTTTCCCATCTAGACACAAAGCGATGCTCCTTGTCCTTCAGTTGACTTTGCGTGCGTACAGTGCACACATGACGGCCGTTGAGTGATTTCAGTCCTGGCCTTGTTATACCCCGTAGATCTGGAACACTCATCCTCAGGTCTGTTTATCAGTGTTCAGCTCCATGACAGCAATTTAAGATTTGAAATATAGCATGTTGATGGACTGCATAATGTGGAGGCATTTAACTTTCTAGAGTTGGAGGAGAAGATTCTTCTGAAGAGAACTGGAATCATATGAAAAATAAAATGGTTATTTTAACCGTGTATGCAACTTGCTAAGTTGCTTGGATGTTTCCTTTGGGCCAAACAATTGAGTGATCGGCTGTGTGATTTCCTGACCCCTCCCATAGGCGTTCCCACGGGAAGCCATCCCATGGCTGCCATGTTTGGACACAGAGAGCTTTACACTGGGACTGCCTGATTTTTTAAATTAAGTAAATTAATATTATTAGTGGTATGTTGTTACCAATGTATCTAGCTATTTTATGAGAAATATATTGTCAACATACTTGCTCCTTAAAGTAGCCTCTGAAATGGGAGACTTGGGAGACAGTGTTAAGATCCAATTGGCTTTTACATTGTTTCCCTTTTCCTGTTCTCAGGTGATGCAGATCTCAGTCAGTTTAGATAAACAGACCGCAGGCTGGAGACCAGCCCCCAGTTGTGCCTGCACAACCCAGGACCTTCAGTGAGGCTGACATTTTAGGCATGATTTTACTGAAGCTTTTTGATATGGCCCAAGAGCTGTGGTTCCTGGGCGGCCGAGTGCTTTCACTCTTTATCTTTGCACTTTGCCTTGTGCCCGTCTGGCCTGGTTTGTGCCTTTGACTCCTGAGGACTAGCTAATCTCAAGCGAATTGGAGCACAAGACTGATGGATGTTTACAAATGAAAGATCACTTGAAGAACGCAGCGTTTTCTCACTTCCCATTTGGTTCTATTTCTCACCTCTGTATGTGAGAAGACAGATTTTCCAAAATCTCAAGGCAAGAGGCAGGAAAGGTGGGGAGATGGGATTAAAGCCATGGTCAGTAGCCCTGAGATGTCCTTGAGGGCTCATCCCGGCAATCCTCTGGAAACTTCTATTTTAACGGCCTCACTGGGCTTGAAACAGTTAAAAGTATGTTGTCCCTGGAAGGGAGGAGCAGTGGTGGCCTAGCGTGGAGGACTGTTTAAATCATACTACACTCCAGGGGCCCTTAGGGAAGGTGAGGTCTTGACCAAGAAGAGACCACCCAGAAGGTGAATTGGCTTTATTTTAATAATCGTCATTTTAACACCGGTTCGGCAGGAAGTCCTGAAGCTGGATTTTGACGCTCCGGGCTTCTGCGTTTCAGTCCTGCTCTCAAGGGGCTTTTGAGATGTGCATGTCTGTTGGAACAATGGCTTTGTGCTCAGGGGAGAGACAATGGCTTGTGTGTACACGGGGGTCGGGGAGTGGTGGGTGGGTGGGATCGGTTGGGAGGAGCCCGCACAGAGTGTGAGCTAACACCTCCTTATTTGAAGCCAGTTTCCCTTGTCTTGGGACCTCAGGTGGCCTCTGAGCCCTTGCAGCCCTCCTGCAAGCCCCCTGGGAGAGGCTGTCCACAGTCCAGGGAGACACGCCCCGCTTTCTGCATTCCAGGCACTAGAGCGGGTGTAAAATACACTTGCCTCTCCAAATCGTTATGAGTCTGAGAGGAGAAAGACAGATCGATCCACTTTTCTTAAAGCCTATTGGAGAGCTGTCACGCCTGACTGCTTTCCCAAGATTTCGCCTACAAGCTGCAGTATGTATTTGGACGTGAGGTTTTGTGAAATCCATTTCTGCAGCCCACACTGAAGACTAATATTTATACTCACTCGATGCTAATATCAGGAAGTCTTACATTCCTGGACCTGCTAGACGGTGTGCTTTAGAGTGTTTTTATGGTCCCATTCGATTCTTGCATGTAAGTTATCCTCACCCCTTGCCTTTAATAGGACCCGAAAGCCGATATTTCTCTAACCAGACTCCCTCCTCCCTGTGATTTCAGGTTTGGGAAGAAATCCCGGCCTGCGATGTACGATGTGACTCCCATCGCCTACGAGGATTACAGCCCTGACGACAAACCCTTGGTCACACTGATCAAAACAAAGGATTTGTAATCTTTTCTCGGGATTATTTTTCAAAAAGATGGGCTACGACACTCATTTAAATATTTTTAAGAAAATAAAAAGCTTAAGAAATTTAAAACGGTAGCTGCTCAAGAGTTTTCGGTAGACTGTTTAAGAACTAATTTTCTGCAGCTTTTAGTTTGAAAGGAAATATTTTAAAAAAGGAATTTGTGAAACCCATAGACTACGTGTTAATGTACGTCCAGCGCTCTAAGCTGTGTGCTTGGACTAGCGTGTGCGCTTCCCGTGGTAGACCCGATCAGGGATCCCAGACTGACTCTGCGGTTGTTACAGGGTCAGTCTCATCCAGGAGAAGCTTCTATTTGACGTGTGAGTGCCAGCTTTCTGAGTAGAGTTAGGAAACCCATGTAGAGTATGAACCATAATACCGTATACCCGTAACTTAAAGAGAAGCCCGAAATGTTTGTTCTGTGAAAAAGAAACTAGTTCAATTTATTATTCTTAACCCGAATGAAATTAGCCTTTGCCTTATCCTGTGCATGGGTAAGTCACTCATTTCTGCACTGGTTTGTTGAACCTTGCAGAAACCGGAAACATTCTTTTGAGTCTGTGTGTTTTTGTTTTGTTTTGTTTTGTTGTCATTTCCGTAACGGTTGTGAAGCGAGGCCTTGAAAACATACCTGAGGAAAGGGCCTCGTGAGGCAAATGATGATCACATGGAATCTGTACTTTCTTTCACCGGTCAAGGTTTCTATATTGTGAGTAAATTAAATTCGCGTTGAAGTGGTTCCTTGCTAAGAGGTAGGAAACGTTAAGAACGTGCTGGTTCCCTCTGTAGTGAGTACTTCTCATAGTGCATCTTTATTTATATCCAGGACATTTTTGTGGCTGTACTTGGTTGATATGTGCCGCTTCTGATTCTTGCTAATTCCAAGAGTATTGAATAAATATTACCAAGTCAAGGATGTATTTGTCTCTTGTTTCTTTTTTAATTATTTAAAACATTTAGATTTGATACCGATTGTCAAACAGTCAGTCCTGCTCTTTTGTACATTTTAAATGTTCCAAGGAGTACATTTTTGTGGCTGCTGGAGCCATTCGCTGTGCCCTCTGGGAGCCCTCCTGACCTCCGAATCGTTAGTGAACCATCCCTACTGTCTTGAAAACGCAAAAGGTAGAAAAAAGTAACAAGAATTCTCATCTTATCTCTTGCGTCAGAATTTGCCAGCGAAATGCAGCACACGTGACCGCTGAGGTCCATTGAAATCGAGAAACACTTCTAGCCGTGACGTGCAGGGAACCTTACGTACGCTGCTCTTCTGCGGAGACCAAATGCAGTTGCCTTAGCAAACAGCACCTGGGTCCTTAGAAACTGGAAGGCAGCTTAGAGCTACCCTGGATTCAATTCCACTTTGCATCCAAATGCTGTGGTGCTGTTGCCCCAGAGTCTTTTTTTAAAAACTCACTTTATCTTTGCATGGGAATGTTTGGTAAGACCAAGAGGAGCCCTGAAACCAGGTGCACGGGAGGGTTTTAAACAGAAAGAAGTACTTAAGATGCGCTTCCTTACTTCTCTTCCCTTCAAACATCTGTCCCCAGTCCTACAAGTGACATAGCGTTACACCCACGCTCTGATTATTAAATGACACAGCACAATATGTTAGTATTTTTAGCTTGTTTAAATGTTTGGAAGTGAAGTAAGAACAAAATGTGAACACGGCTGGCTGAGCAGCCACGGGAACACGCACAGGCCTTTCCTGCTTCCATCTTCTGGTGGAAGACTGTTGGTTGTGTGGTGCAGACACCTCTGTCTGTTACCGCTGCAAACTGATGCTGCTCGCCGCGTAACAGGCCAATAAATCATGAGACAAGGTGTTGGCGAAAGGAATTCTGACTTTATTCAGAAAGCTGGCAGACCGAGAAGATGGCAGACTAATGTCCTGGAGAACCGTCTTCCCCAAGTCAGAGTTCAGGCTCCTTTTATACTAGAAGGGGGAGGAGGTGTGGTCAGTTGTTGCCCACTTCTTCTTGGAATCCTTTGTTCTTGCAGCTGCCCACCTAGGTCAGGTCACGATGTTTCTGTAAACCTCCAACAAGACGAATGTTACTCTCTGTCCCCAAACTTTTTCTCTCTCTATGAATGGAAAAGTGTTGCACCCTTAAAGGTCAGAGCCTTGAGCATGGGCTCCCTCGTATATTTCAGGCTCTAGGCAACATTCTTTTACAAAAGGTGCAGAGCCAGCAGGACTCAGCACGGGAAACAGAGCGCAGGGTTAGAGCTAAAGGAGCAGGTCTAACATGGAGTCAGATTTCTTCTTCCCAATTACACGTCCACAGGAGACATCCTAGAAGCGTCGGAAGTTAAACTTTGTTTTCCTGTGGCCTCCCTCCATGCGCCCACGGGCAGTATCTGTGCTGCTGTGACCGTGATTTGGAAGCTACTTCCATCGAGCCCTCGCAAATAATTTTCAATCTTCCGAATTCTTAAATTCATTACATGTTTCACCCCTTACGGGACTTGCTTGGAAAACTAAACAGTCCTTTATCAATGACAATTGGTCTTTTCAAAGCAAATTAATGGAGCCTATTAATGCAGGTTGTGAGCTGACTCGTCTGCCTCCTGACAGTCTGAGAGCCAGCACCAAACCCATTTAAAGACCTTCACTTACTCCTTTGCACGTTCAATAAGAATACCCCTCACTGAGCGCTTGTTCTGCGTCAGGCAGACAGCGAGCAGCAAGGTCGGCGCAAAAGGATTCTGGCTCCCGAGTTCACAGCTCGTTTTGAACCAGACCTTCATCTAATAATCAGACAAATGAGCACAGAATTACACTTTGAAGCACACGGCAAAGGAAAGGTAAACACTCGGCAGCTTATTTGCAGTCAAGTGTATGGGAATCTTGCTTCACCTGTTCACTTGCTAACAACTTTGGACACGTGAGTCTCTGAACCTATGCTTCATAATTTGGAAAATTGGGAATAAGGATAGGACCTCCCTTGGAGGGTCATGGTGAGAATGAAACACCAAATGCTGGTGTCTCTTTTTGAAAGAAATTTCTGGTTAAAAACTCCCAAGGCCCCAAGGACATTAAATTATCCACATGTCATTTCTTCTGTGTAACTATTTAGATGCCTCTGACTGCAGGTGACAAGACAAACCAACACACACACACTAACTTAGCCCATAAGGAAATCTTGTACCTGGTAGTCTAGAAGAAATGTGAGCTTCAGGATCAGCTTGATCTAGAAGTTCTGGTTCATTTTCCTTGCAGATCCCTTGGTCTTGTCCTCCTCTGTGTAATGGCATCACCACCAGGCTGCTTCCCTTATGATGGCAGAATGGCTCTGATTGTTTCTGTCTTAAATTAACATACTCTGCCTGCCCTATACAAATGTGTACCCACTCAACCCATCTCTACTTTACCATGTTTCCTTCCATCTTGCATTATTTTCCATCATACTTGACACTGCCTGGCATGACACTAAGTAACTTCCTTAATTGCTTATTTTCTGTCTTTCCTGCTACAACTTGAAATCTGTGTTCTGTATTGCCAATGTCTAAAACAGTGCTTAACACATAAAGGCTGCTTAAGAAATAGTTGTTGAGTGAATGAATGCCAGGACATCTAGAGGATGAACTAGAGGTCGACTCAGAGGCTCAGATTTCTTCCCAAATATCACTCAACTCTCATTGGCCCAAATTGCATCACATACACACTTTCGAATCATCCCTCACGGCAGCCAAATGGCAAACACTCATTGGTGAAGATCCGGATTCCTGAGCCAATCACTGTTGCAGGGCATGGGATGGTCCTGCCACTGGGAAAGGGATCGTTACCCCTATCAACACGTGGGATATAGACTGTGTGGTGGGATGGAAGAAGCGCCTGAACAAAACGGCAGTGCAATTACGATGGGGGAAGGCGAGAATGGTACCAGGACGCCACCAAAAATGTCCTCTACATGAACATGTAGGTAAAGGAGTGACCGGAGTGAGCGGGAGAGGTGAGGCAGCATTAGACTGGGAGTTTAAAAGCCTGGAGCCTTACCCTAATTCCTTCTCTAACAAGCAGCTAGGACTGGGAGTGTCATTCCCCTGGGACTGGGCTTTGGCACTTTTGATATTGAACAGCTGGTACTAGTTTTGGAGGTTTTGGCTTGACTTTTATACTTGTTACTTGATCCACAGACGTCTTTTTGTTTGTCCTATACTGTGTGTGTAAACCGAAATTTAAAAGTAATGAGACTGTATCTCTGTCTCTGTCTCTCTTTCACATAAGCGCAAGCACGCACAAACACAAACACACACACACACACACACACACACAACATCCCATGGCAGCAAGTGGCTGAAAGTGAAATGAAACTTCTTCTTTTAGACAGATGCATACAATCCCCACCACTCCCTATTGTCCCACTGGTATTAAAAATGAATGCTAGTTACCACTTATAATCTTATTTGTTCAGCTATGTTTGTTTTGGGTTTGTTTTATTTTCTTTTTGTGGATAAACAGTTTTCTGCAGCCACACCATCAAAATAGGTAAATGAGCATTATGTTGAGTGGGCTGTGTGTTTCAGGGAAAATGAGAGCATAGTTCCTTGTGGAAGTGCAGGCTGTTTATGTGTCTGTTATGCAAAACCCCCCGCCTACTTGATTGACATTATTTTCCTGGCCCCTGAGGTTATTTGTGTTTGGGAGCCCAAGTCTAGATCGGTGATTTTAAAAGTTATTTTTAAAAATGCATTTTTGGCTTCCAATGAAATATTACATGGAAGTGTGATATATAAATTGGATTAAAATAAACAAGACGATTTGATTGAACGTGATTGAGAGGTCCAGGTCCCCAGACCCTTTAGCCCCATCTCCCCACTCCTCCCCACCCCAGTGGTCTCCGAGGGGATAGGAAGGCCCATAATAATCCCACAGAGGACAGTCTGAATACCGTTGGACTAGCTTAATCCATATCCAAGGCATTTCGTCTCCCCATCCTTCAATCCACCCGTCTATCCAAGAGATGTTAATGGAGTTCTCAGCATGTATGAGGCCGGTGCTGGGAGCTGCCTGAATCAGGTGTAATTATTAGCTGTGGACCCCAGAGACATCATACGTGCCCCATGGATGTTAGAGGCTTGAAGGAAGACAGAAATTTGAAATACATCCTTGCATCAGGTTTCAATACCAGTATGTTATGGGAGCTTCTAGCAGGGAGAACCTGGTAGATTTCTGTAGCAGTCAGGAAAGACTCATTGATAACTAACATCTAAGTTGGGGTCTGAGGGATGGTTAAGAATTACCCAGATGAAGAGCATGAAGTCTCAAAGAATGAGAGTGGGCACTTCTGAAGAACTAAAAATATTAAGTCTGGCTGGAGCCTTGTCATACAAGATCAAGGTTATAAGCCTGCATTGCTCTATGACCCAGCAATTTCGCTCCTAGGTAAATGCCCAAGAGCAGCCAAAGCTAAAAAACGTCTTGTACAAGAATGTGTATAGCAACTTGATTCATGAAAGTCCTCAGTGCAATAGAATATCACTAAAAAATAAGAAGGAAAGAACTACTGAAGTATAAAGCACTATGTCAGAAACTCGTAGGCATAAACGTTGAGCCAAAAAAGCCAGACACAGCAGAGGACATAATGCATGGTTCTGTTCATGTGAGATTCTAGATCAGGCAAAACCAATTTATGGTCCAAGAATCTGAACAGCAGTTGCCTCTGGGTACAGAGGATGGAGGGTGGGTGCGTTACCCGGAAAGGGTCCAGAAGGACATTTCTGGGATACAGAAATAGTCTCCATCTTGATTTTTGTGATAGTAACAGGAGAGTATACATCTGTCAAAAGCCATCAGACTGTACACTTAAGATCTGTGTATTTTATTGCATCTCATTTTAAAAGTCAATAATTTTTAAAAACAGTAAGGTCATTTTAAAAAGGGCAAGGAAGAGAGTAGATTGAAGATGGAGAGGTA